CCTCAGGCACCTCCTGGTGGCCAACCAGTCTCTCTGGTCCATGCTCGGAGTCTGAACCCTGTCCAGGGTCCTCCACATGTTCCAGAGCCGACTCATAGGGTCCATCGGAGTCTGTTTGCAGCTCCAACTGTTCCTACTGGGCCACAACAGGTTACTAACATTATTATATAAATAAAAATAATAATGATAATTGAAGACAATTAATATAACCTCCAAATAAGAGAACCCAAAGACTCATTTATTCATTTGATGTCATGTTTCTTTAGACTTGCTACACTGCCAATTGTGTTGCATCTTGTGCAACCTACATTATAAAACAGAAATATGTTACTGGAATAGGTGTCAACTTGAGAATGTGAGGGAAGGGAGTAAAGAAGTCCCTGCAGATTTTACTCTGCTAGTCCCTGCCCTCTACAGAAAGTGATACTCATCTCTGTTTAGAGGTCATTGAGCCAACACTATCCAAAGACATTTCTTCAGTCATGTGGCCAGCATGTCACTGAGTGCTGTTACCTTCCCAGCAATGTGGTACCTACATATTTACCTACTCACGTTTCCATATTTTCAAACTGCTAGGTTGGTAGCATCCTGGTCGAGGATAGGGAAAATAGAGTGATTAAAAGATGTCACTTACTTGATATATCAAACAGAAATTTAGGGACCTTAGCAGCCACACACACAAAAAACAGGTTTTGGAGGTACCCTGCCCAAGCTAAGGAGGAGATAATAATACCAAATATAGCATACCCGTCCATGCCCTAAGAAGAAACACCTTTTGCAACGGAATCACTTTACTTTAGGATGCAGAATAAAACCAAGGGAATGTTTTGGGACTGACGTTAGAGATTGATAAAGAGAACTCCTTTAATTTCCCACTGGTGAGCAAAGTCATTTTTCATAATGGTCCATGTTAGACTTCCAGAAGTTAGAAAGGAAGATGGCAGTCCGCATCAGTAACTACTATGACATTACTTCTTGGTTGTATCTGCAATATTTAGTTCATTGAAAATAAATGTTCAATTCATGTGTCACTCTAGCTGATCTTTATTTTTATGCATAGACAGTGCCTTCATCTAGATGTACAAAAAGTTGTCCCCCAGGATATGTCAAGCTCATAAGAGAGGGAGCACCTGTTTGCTGCTACGACTGTTCTCTGTGCATGGAAGGAACAATCTCTATGCAAGAAGGTGGGCATCTCTGGAAAAGAAAAGAATTCAGGATGCAATCAACTCCTGCTTTTCTGGCAAATATTTGTTATAGATGTTTTCTTTCATGCTAGTAATTTCTTCATAGTGGCGTAAAACAGGAACACTGAATTTCTTGAAGGGTTCCACAAAAAATGCAATGATTGGGTTCAATCAACTAATGATACATGATGATATGGCCCTTAAAATGAATAATTAAAGTTGTGGAAATCTCTTGAATCATTATATCATTGACTGGTTTCAGGAAGGAAGCAATAGCACTTAGATTTATATATGGCTTCATCGTGCTTTACAGCACAAAGGGTTTTCAGAGTAAGCATATTACCCCAAACAATCTGGCTCCTCATTTTACTAACCTCGGAAAGATGGAAATCTGAATCAACCTTGAACCGGTCAGAATCGACCTCCTGGCAGTAGGCAGCCTCAGCTTGCAATACTGCATTATAACCACTGTGCCACCAGGGCTCCACAAGAAGCAAGTCTTGTGAGAGTTCATGAGCTCATTGGTTTTCAGGATTTAAACAAATTATCATTATTCCTAATTAATGCTGGATCTTATGAATATCTCTGGGTAGAAATATTGAACTATTCCTTGGGCATGCGAGCATCGTCATTATGTGAGTCCCCATGGTGGGCAACTGACAAACATTTTTTAACTTGCATTACATGTGAATAATTCAAATTAATAGAACTTCAACCCATACCTTCAGGACAGGGGTGGGTTCCTGCCAGTTCTAACCTCTTCTATAGAAGAGGTTCCACAAATCTACTGTGCCATTTAGAACTGGTTCCAGCTCCCTCCCCTTGCCTGTCCACACCATACTTGCCCCACCCATCGCTCACTGATTGGCTGGCTCACCGCCCACCTATAAGAATCCTATCTAAACCTTAAAGTCTTAAAGCTGTATATTGTAATAGTAATATATTTGAGTTGCATTTGTCATGATCCTAGACTGCAGAAACGGATACATGCTAACCACTGTTTTTCAGATGCAGCGCATTGCAGCAGGTGTCCAGATGACCAGTATTCAAATAAAAAGCGAGATCAGTGTGTCCTCAAAACTATAAGCTTCTTGTCTTACAAAGAAATGTTGGGACTCCTCCTGGCTTCCTTTGTCCTTGCTTTGTCCCTAACCACTGCCTTTGTTCTGGGAATCTTCATTAAATACCGAGAAACTCCCATAGTCAAAGCCAACAACCGGGACCTCACCTACATTCTCCTGGTTTCCCTCCTCCTTTCCTTTTTGACCTCCCTTCTATTCATCGGTCAGCCCAACCAAGTGACCTGTTTTCTTCGACAAGCCACGTTCAGCATTGTTTTTTCTGTTGCTGTGTCCTCCTTGCTGGCCAAGACTGTTATGGTGGTGGTGGCTTTCTTGGCTACAAAGCCAGGGAGCAGGATGAGGAAGTGGCTCGGGAAGAGTCTGACCAACTTTATTGTATTTTCCTGCTCTGGTGTTCAGGTGGGCATCTGCTTCATGTGGCTTGGAATCTCTCCCCCATTTCCAGATTCTGACCTGCATTCCCAACCAGGACAGATCCTTTTGCAATGCAATGAAGGCTCAGTCACCATGTTCTACATTGCCCTTGGCTACATGGGCTTCCTGGCTGGCATTTGTTTCTTGGTGGCTTTCTTGGCCAGAAAGCTGCCAGGGACTTTCAATGAAGCCAAGTGGATCACCTTCAGCATGTTAGTCTTCTGCAGTGTTTGGGTCTCATTTGTCCCCACATACCTGAGCACCAAAGGGAAATACATGGTGGCTGTGCAGATTTTCTCCATCCTGGCTTCCAGCTTGGGTTTGCTGGGCTGCATATTTATCCCCAAATGCTATATTATTATGCTGAGATCTGACCTGAACACAAAGGAGCAACTAATGATGAAAATTAAAGAGGCCTCCTAGTTTTTTTCTCTACTTTTGTAACTAGTTTATAGCATAGAAGTAAACTTATTTTGTGTTCTGTGGAATTTTCCTTCCTTTCTTTTGAATTATGAATTATGCTCACCAATGAAGGATAAACTCCAGTGTAAGTCAATCTTTGCCTCTTTTGAAAATCTTTTGAGGTTGTCTCTACTGGTTTTCCTGCAGAAGCCTCAAGCCCTTTGCCCTAGTTGAGACCTAAGAAATGAAACTGTGGGGCTATGCAGTGGAAATGAATCCTAAAACTTAAGTTTTTCTGATAACATGACTGTTATAATTTCTTCATACCCCCAAAAAGGCAAAGAGGCTATGGCAACAGAAAGCAGCTAATTTATTACACCTGCAGGTAGAATCCCAAGCAAATGAGAATCCCTACAAGGTACACCTTAAATACACAAAATGTCATATCATATGCATTATAACTTGGATACAAAAAATACAATTGCGTGCAAAAAACACAAGTGCAAAGTACATGGAAATTCCCCAAATGTTCTGAAAGCATACGTGTCCAAAAGCCCCAAAGGACCTCGCTTTCCCAGAACTAAACAATAAGGTCATTACCGGCTTCCTGAAGAACATGTCCTGTTACTCCCTGTTACAAAGGGAGGGATCAGCCTATTTTCTGATCAGGTCACCATAACTTTCCGATTCTGCTCCAACTTGTGATTTTCCAGAAAAGCTTACTTGCTGATCAGATATTCAAGATGGAGTCTATCAGGTTCCTCAAATAACCTCATCTAATTTACCCAAATAATCCAGATTTTTTACCTTTTTCTCTCATAGACATTAACACATTTGTTATAAGTTAAGATAACCTTTATTGTCATTTACTGGTATGCTCCTGTATGCACAATGGCATATGTTAAAATGAAATTCTGATGCTCCACTCTTGAAGGAAGGAATGTCACCCACTGAACAATGTCACCATCCCGAGGATAACAATAATACTATAGAAATAGCAGGAACACCAAAAATTTTAACTTATACAAAAATTACACAAAAGTGTATATTAATCACAATCCATTTTGAATACATAGTGGAAAAAAGTTCTGAAAGGTAACAAGGTTGGTGCTATATGGAATAAAGCTGTTATACAATCCAATTTATGGGTGGCAAACCACAGCATTACATTGCTGTCACATGATGTTTCATGACCTTTTTCCCATTCACGCAGCTGTGGTGGGCATGCCCTGTGCGTGATGCATCTGGCCTGCGAGCTGCCAGTTTGACACCCCTGATCTAGGTGTTCTGCTTCATATGCCACAAAAACTGATTCAGAAGGCAACAATGAAAACTGATAATGGAGATGATGTATAAAGACCTTGACACTACTACTCACCCCCAGTCAAGCAGCACTCATATGCCATGTCCTGAATTGATGGAAGTAAACTTCCAGTAATCTTTTCCACCATCTTCACCAATCTCTATATTTCCCTTCTGTCCGAAGCAATAATATTTTCAAACCAAACAGTAGTACAATATGACAGGATGATCTCAATTGTCCTTCTATAGAAAGTTGTAATGACAGAAGGACTGTTTGACTGCTCTATCTCAGCACTGTCATCCTGAATGAGGCCCACCACTTTTGTATCATCTACATACTTCATAGTATTGTTGGTAGCAAACCTTGCACAATAACCATGGGTCAACAGGTTGAACAACATTGGACTTAGGACATGGCACTGAGGAGAACCTGTGCTCAAGAAAAAAGTGATAGAAATATTACTCACCAGCTCACACATACTAGGGCTTATCAGTGAGAAAATCAAGAAACCAGTTGCACAAAGAAGTATTAAAGCCTAAAAGTGTGCCTAATAAATGCAGATAATTGTATTAAATGCCAAACTAAAGTCAACAAACAATATTCAGACATCAGCATTTCTTTCCTTTAAGTGCACCATATTTGAACTGAGCGTTCAAGCCTGACAATAAAAGTTGAAAAGATGTACCATATTTTTCGGAGTATAAGATGCACCTTTTTCCTTCAAAAAAGAGAGTGAAAATCTGGGTGTGCCCTATACACTGAATACAGCATTTGCAGCCTCCTGAAACCTTGCCCCCTTTGCAAAAATGGTCATGCGTAGCCTTTAGGAGGCTTCCAGAGTGCTCCTGGAGGCTGGGGAGATCAGAAATGAGCGAATAATGGTCTGTTTCTTGCTCATTTTGCCCTCCAGATCCCAGAAGCACTCTATAATCCTCCTAAAGGCTTTTTTGACAAAAAAAGGGAGGTCTGCAGAGTGCAAAACATTTTTTTTAAAATTTGCCTCTTCAAAATCTTGGTGCATCTTATATTCCAAAAAATATGGTATTTGCATTACAATGGCAACTTAAAAGCTCTAGAACAGGAGTGTCAAACTCATGTCACGGTGGCATCACGTGACTTATCAAGATTTTTACCCCTTTGCTAAACCAGGCATGGGCGTGACCAACACATGATGCATCCGGCTGCGGGTTGGAAGTTTGACAGCCCTGCTGTAGAAGAATGAGTTGACTCAGCAAAATAGCCTGTTGTTAGGAAAGATGGGTGTTGCAATGAAGCATGTACAGATTTCTTTCGCTATGATGTGTCCAACAAACAAAGAAACCTTCATGGGTATTAGGCTTTATTTTGAACTTTGATCAATTTCAAACATATATTCCTTTGATTTTTTTCCTAACTAACTTTGGCAAATTTATTGAAAGTAAATAAAATATCTGTTGACCAGCAAAAAGAAAGAAAATAACTAGCTTAGTGAAGGGACATATTGATTTGTTGGTTGATTTAACCACAGTAGCTTTCAGCATTTTAAATATGTTTCAGAGGAGTTCTTTAAGTTATTTTAAATATACCGTATTTTTGGAGTATAAGACACACTGGAGTATAAGACGCACCAAGGTTTTTGGTGGCAAGGCAATTTTTTTTAAAAAAGTAGGTAGGTAAATAAAGGGGTAGATGCTGTATTTGATGTACGTATAAGAGGCACCCAGATTTTCAGCCTCTTTTTTGAGGAAAAAAGGTGCATCTTATACTCTGAGAAATACGGTAATTGACCAAACATAGAAGGTGTTGAAATATTGCACTCAGATTCTCTCCCATGCTGAGAAGAACCTAATAATTGTTGGAAATGTATTTCAATAAACTGTCCTTTGTTGCCATTATCCAAATGCTTTGGTTTCTAAATTAAGTAAGTGTCAGGCCTGTAGTTATGTTCTTTTAGGATCTTTGGCCTGCCACACTTTCTATTATTTCACTATGCTGTTTCATTAGTGTAGTAATTGGGAGGGGGGAATAGAAAGGAGTGGAATGGTGGAATGTGTTGTTGTCATTCCTTTCTAGAAGCAAGGTCATCTTTTGTCTCCGCA